ACTGAACATAGCATAGCATAATCATAACTACTAGCATAAACACATATACTGCATACTGCATCAGACCGAAGTCCGGAACACATAACACGAAGACATGCTTGAATCACGAAGACATCAAGCACACTAAACTACTGCATCGGACCGAAGTCCGGAACTACTGCTAACTTAAACGGGCTGGCATTGTGGCCGTAGACCCGTTCCTACTGGAAGGAAACTCACCTCGTAATGCTGGCTGCTGAGATGCTAAATCTGAAACTGTCTGACTGCTGCTCCGGAACTCCCCGGCTACAAATCCCATAGACACTAAATCAGATACTGATAACTATTCTCAGGGTAAAATGACCATTTTACCCCTGGTCAAAGTCAACATCCTGGTCAAAATCAACTTTCAGTTGACCGGACTCGCCGAGTTGGGCCGCCAACTCGCCGAGTCCCTATCACCTTTCTAATCTTCTACCCGCTTCTACTCGTCGAGTTTGGCAAAGGCTCGACGAGTTCCTCTTCGATACTAACATCTAGTTCATCTTCATCTGACTCGCCGAGCTGTATGAACAACTCGTCGAGTCCTCCTTCATCCTATGAATGAGATCAGTCCTTGACTCGTCGAGTTGTATGAACAACTCGTCGAGTCCCTCCACTACTAGATCTGAGCCTTAACTCACCGAGTCCATTATCTACTCACTGATTCCACCTTAAACTCTCAAATGGGGAAAAAATTGGGGACTCGCGACTCGACTCGTCGAGTCTGAAGAACGACTCGCCGAGTCCCAAGCATGACATTACTAAACAGTCGATTCTGCTCGAATCCCGTGCATTCCATTCATAGATCTGGGCCCCTAGGGCTGGTTTTTCACGTAAAGTTTCTAACTTTACGTGCATGCATGCTAATATGAAGCTCAAATACCCAAAATAAGCTAAAGGAAGAGATTTAAGCTTGGAATGGAAACTTGGCTCAATAAAGGTGGCAACCTTGAGCTTAAGAGGCTCTGGAAAGCTTAGATCTGAAGTCCATTCATCATATTAACTCTTAATTCGACCCTATGGTCTAGAAAGGACTCAAAATCAACAAGAGCAAACTTCTCAAGAGATCTAATTGATAATAAGCAAAGATTTGAGCTTGATACCTCAAAGGGGACTGAAATGCAACCAGAAGTCTGGATCTACTTGCTCCCCTTGAATACTTCTCTTCTCTCTTCTTTCCTAAATCCCCAAGATGCACTAAAACCTTCACAAGTGAGAAAATGCTCCAAAAATGCTTAAGAACGACTAGGGTTTCGTATGGGACTCTTTGTGGGTGAGGGAGGCTGGTCTTGGGGCACATAAGATGTTTAAATAGGGTGCAAACCCTTGAAATTAGGGTTTCTTCCAGACTGGCAGACTCGCCGAGTCCGGGAATATGGACTCGTCGAGTTGCCAACTTAAAACGCGTGCAAATCCCGCTTCTACTCGACGAATCGGGCTATTGACTCGTCGAGTACCCCTTAAGAAATGAAAATTACTTTATTTAAATCACATACCAGAAATGGGGCGTTACAGAGTTCCCCCAAAATACCGATACATTGCACATAACACATATACAAATAATAGCATGTACTGGGTCCACAACTCTACATACTGGATTACCCCTGGGCCCACAGTGTGAGTCTGGATTGCCTTCCGGGCCCACAACTCACATCTGGATTGTCATCGAGCCCACAGTACGAGTCTCCCTCAGCCCGTAACTAGAATGCTCCCGAGCCCACAGTACGAGTCTCCCTCAGCTCGCATCTGGAATGCTCCCGGATTTGTTGGATTACCGCACGGAGCAGTATCACCTCAACCCATCCCACAATAAATGTCAACACATATAATAAGTAATGCGCATGTAGATAATAACATAACAACACAGGTAGTCCTACAGATCTACCTAACTGGAATAACAACTAGCATGCAACTCTAACTCATACTCAACATACTACCACTGCTAGGATATCATATCCAATGGGCCGGACTTGGTGCCTTAGACCCCTTAGTATAGTGAGGATAACTCACCTCGCAAGTAGTGCTGAAATACTGTAAATCTCTGACTGCTGTCTCACCGGGAATCCCGAACTATCACATAATAAATACTAAGTTAATACCCAAAATAACCTCCTTGATTAAGTGTCCACACCACTCATGAAGTCCATTCTCTTTATTAGGCCAAGGCCCAATACCAAGTCCTTAACTTGAAAGTCCATATATAAAGTCCATTATGGGCCCAATTTACTAAATTGGGCCTAACTTCCTAATTGGGCCTAATCCCATCATCCATCATCACTACATGGCCCAAAATATCTTATTCATAAAGTCCAGCAAAGGCCCAATTCCAATTAGTCCATAAACAACCCAAAACCCGAAGCCCATTTGTCAAAGGCCCAACAGAGAACGTACGCGGGGGCGTACTTGTCCAGATGTTGACCACCATCGGGGTGGTTGACCCAGTACGCTGAGCATACTGGATTTACGTTGGGCGTACTCGACGGTTTGCCAAAACCTTATTAAGTGCTTAATGGCTTAAGTACTTAAGCCCTAACTTCAGATTCAGTGACCTAATATGCCTAGGACCCATAAAGTCATGAACTTTATCACTTTGGACGTCCAGAAAGCTCTTAATACTTGGTCTTAATCCATTAAGGCCTTCTTTTTCCATGCATGGGACACATTCAGCTAATGAGACCTCATTTTTATCACTCAAGGTCCCTTCAAGAGTCTAGAAGGACAGTCATTTTCGTCCAAATCACATCATGCACCACCCTATGGCTTTTTGGGACAAGAAATGGTTCTTTTAAAGCAAAATGGAAAGATCTATACATATATGCATAAAGTTTGGAGCTTTATACCTTCTGTAGCTTCTAGGGCACAAGTTAACTTCAGATCTACAAGCTTGATCTTCTTCTCCAACTCTTTGATGCAATAACTTCTTCTTAAAGCATTCAAGAAACACTCAATAAGCTCAAACACACAAAGGAAAGGCTAGGGTTTGGGGAAGACGACTCTAATCTATGGAGGCTGAGGTAAGGGAAGGTTTGGTGCTCATAATGTTGCTTATATAGGCCCCAAACCATAAATATTAAGAGTTCACACTGGAAGGGAAAGGGTCATACTAGATCATCCAGTAGTGGGTCCAAGACTAAGCTCAGTTATGATATTCTAGTTGTGAGTGATCCTAAAGAGGTCGTTTGCTATTATTGCAACGACAAAGGCCACTAGAAATGAAGTTGTGCCAAGTACTTGCAGGACATAGAGGATGACAAAGTCAATCCATCGTCGGAAGGTATATACAAACTTTTTTTAAAAAGTATATTAGTGATTGAATGCTAAGTATTTTGAAATAAATTAAAAGGAAAAAAGTATGTTACAAGCTTTATGATTATGTTTGAATAAATGAATAACAAGCTAGCCACAATTTTCCCGTGAGGGATGAGCAACAACAAGACTCTATTTTTTATGGTACCTCCTGTCTCTAAGTAGATGTATAGAAAATAGATGATGTGATAAAATGATTTTTTTTTCTTCTATCGTCATAAGTTATGAAGGGTTGTACGATGCGACTAGGTCCTCTCAGACCCCATATTCGACATATTGTTGTGAGTTAGGCTCTATTGGACCTCAAATTCGGCACATAGCCGTGAGTTAAAGAAATAATAAAAGAGCTAAGATGGCCTGTAAGTTTGTATGGTGTGAGGACATGTATTACATAGTCAATGAATTGTTTTAAGTTTTATGAAAGTTATAAAAGCTTATCAAAGTTTTATAAAAGTTATGAAAGTTATGAAAGTTTTAAGAATTATTCTGAAATCTTTTGAAAGTTTATGAAAACTTATTAAAGGTTATGAAAGTGAAGTATATCAAGTGTTTTAAAGATTACAAAAGTCTATGAGAGTGAAAAGTTTTATCGAAAGTTGAAAATGTTTTGGGTCTAAATCCATAGGACCCACGAGACATTATTGTCTTACCTATTTTTTTTTAATATCATGCATTCCAGGTTCAGATAAGAAATGTTAGAACAATGTGATTATACCGATAACAATGAGCTTTTAAGCGATAGAAACTAGAAATATTTTATGTAATGTATAAATATTAAGTGCTTTACTACGGTTTGTATCGGTTATATACCCGATACATGTTTTTTTTCTTTTAAATAACAAGTAAATTGTTTTGAATTTTATGAAACCACGTTCAAATGATTATGATTTAAATTATAAAAATGTTTTCAAAACCATAGTATTTTATCATGTAAAAAATGATGGGTATTAATCAAAATACATAAAAAAACATAAAATATAATACTAAAACAAAATATAGTTTTAGATAAATACAACGTATCAAGATGAAACGCCATCACGAGTTTCGATTCATTGGAGTATTAAATGGATGAATCTCATGACCACTTAATAAATAGAATTCACTATCAACTTCATCATTCTAAAAACATTGCCTCTTTTTCTTCAAAACTGATTCACTAACGGTTTTTAACGTTTCAGTATGACTGGTTCAATCAGGTTTTTGTAAAAACCACACGGTTCGTTTCAGTCCATAAATAAACATTAAAGAGCTGCTAGTTAAACCACTTTCTTCCCCATGTCCCAATCCAATCGATTTGATTGGCTCTTTCAACTCAGTTTTTAAAATATTACATGATAGCCTAAAAAACGCATTGTATTACTTAATATGATTTTTTTTCTATGAAAACATACATTGATTCAGTCTGAAATACGCAGAGACACATTTAAACATTAAGGTTTTTTGATTTGAGGAATTCATATTATCATTTTGTGAATTTAGGAATTTTTATCTTTGCCTTGCTTCTATTTGAAGGCGCAAACACATAAAAAGTTTGATCTTGGTTTTATGTACTTCAACTTTGAAATACGAATAAGCTATATATATAAAGTCAGTTTTTGTTTTAAGCAATATTTTTAGGGAAAATACCGGCAATAGTCAAAAAATGGGGGTAATTTCAAAATTTAGACATGAAAATGAACATTTCCAGGTATAGACATGCATTCCGCTGAGCTCCACGGAATGTACTGTAGCTCCGCGGAATATTATTATTATTATTATTATTTTTTATTTTTTTTTTCAGATCGTTTCTTCGGGGGTTATATTAATTCCACAACTAATTATTTTCAAGAAAAAGATTATGATAGTATAATAATCTTTGCTTGAAAATAATTAGTTGGAGAATGAATATAAACCTCGAAGAATCGATGTGAAAAAAAAAAAAACTGAAGATCCATTTCTCGGAGCTACCTCCGCGGAATGAGTTTATTCCTCAGAGGTATCTCCGCGGAATGGATCTTGAGTTTTTTTTTTTTTTTTTTTTTTTAATACACTCATTTATTTACGATTTTGTCATTCCGTGGAGCTACAGTAGATTCCGCGGAGCTCCGCGGAGCTATCTCCGCGGAATCCATGTCTATATCCGGAAATCCAATTTTTTGTGTCTATTTTTTGAAAATACCCTCCATTTTTTTACTATTGCCGGTATTTTTCCCATATTTTTAAGTGTAAAATAACAATCCTAGGTTATCATTTGCTTAAAACTATAGGCAAAACCGCAGAACTATTGGGGGATAAGAATAATTATAGTACAAATGTACAATACACCAATTTAAATACATAAAAGTTGGCGGACAAAAAACTTATGCTATATTGAATAAAATAAAGATAACGGTCTTAAAATAAGGAACAAATTAACTAATAATATTATTTTTAGTAAAAGATATATATTACCAAAAATATATACTGTTATTGCAGCTATTCAAACCCAAAATTAATGGAAAGAATCCCAATTTATTGCAATTATTTTAAATTTTTTTAAAAGAAGTAAAAACCAATTTAGGACAACTTTCATTGCTCAACGACTGTATCTTCGACACGCTCCATTTCCTTCTTTCGTTTTTTCTCTCTTTCGAACAAAAAAAGAAAAGAAAAGAGAGGGAGACTAGAAGAACTCTGAAAGGCAAAACCTCACAAAAACCCTAATCCAGTGTCCGATTGCTGTAAGTTTTTTTATTTTTTGCTTCATCATCGGTACCAATTAGCTAGTTTGTTGCGCAATTTTGATATAATTGTGCATTTTGAGTACATTCTGTTCGTTTTTTTTGTTTCTGCTTGAATTCGGTGTTCTTTTTGAGATCTGTGACGTTTGAAGTTCGTAAAGACGCTTGATTCGTTGGAAATGTAGCGTTGCTACTTGTTAGTGTTACATTGAGGTACATTTTTGTGTAGCCACGAAATGTTCAGAGAAGGGAATTGTTTATGTATGTTGTTTCAAGGTTCTGGTTCTTGTATGAGGAATGTGAACATATTTTTTGAAGTGGTAATAATAATTACAAGATTGGGTCACGATCGAGTTTTTGGAGTTGGTAACATCAATGCCGAATGTAGGGTTTTATAGATTTTGTTCATACATGCCTATATCTGGGTTGGTTGTTTTAATTTTCTTACCGATGCAACGTACTTTATGAAATTTAAATACACAAATCACTTTTATTGTCTGAATTTAGTTATAGCTTGAACGGTTGAATCTAATAGTTAAACTTTTGTTATATTCTCATTGAAAAACATGATATTGCATTCAAGTGATGCCAACTGAAACAAACTTGCTTATTACTTTTAGCAATGTTTTCTCATTAGTTGTCATGCACATTCATAGTAGCTGTCTCATTAAAGCTTTGTTAGGCCAGTTTGCAGGGATACCAAATGGCAGGGGTTGATGTTCAACATCCTCTTCTTGGAGAAACAACTTGTGGCTCTTTGCTGCTTCAGTTGCAGGTAAAATACATTTGTGCTACTTGCTAATTTCATCTTTAATCATTTATTAGTTTCACTACCTTTCACAAAAGCTTCTCTGATAAAGGGTTTGATATCTTAATTGATTGGGTAAGTGGATTCTTTGTGGTAATGCAGAAAATTTGGGATGAAGTAGGTGAAAGTGATGTGGAAAGGGATAAGATGCTTCTTCAACTAGAGCAAGAATGCTTGAATGTGTATAAGAGAAAAGTGGAACAAGCTGCAAAATCAAGGGCACACCTTCTTCAAGCACTTGCAGATGCTAAACTTGAACTCTCCACTCTTCTTGCATCCCTTGGAGAGAAATCATTCATTGGCATTGTAAGTAACAGACTATATCCCATTTTGGAACTCATTTTTTTTCTTCTGTTATAGTATTTATGGTTTTTTGTTCTTTTGTGGATTAATTTGCAGCCTGTGAAGACTTCTGGAAGCATTAAGGAACAACTTGCTGCCATTGCACCAGCTCTAGAACACTTATTGAAGCAGAAAGAGGAGAGAGTAAAGAAGTTTGCAAATGTCCTGACACAAATACAAAAGATCCGTGGAGAAATTTCAGGGACTAATGAACAAACAGGAAGCTTTACAGTTGATGAGTCTGACCTATCTGTAAAGAAGTTAGATGAATTTCATGATCATCTGCAAGAACTTGAGAAAGAAAAGGTAAGCAATAAGCACTTCACCTCATTTTTAAAAGAGGTGAAATTTTTTACACATTTGCCTAAAACTATGATGACTAATGTCAACTTCTGTTTTGCAGAGTGAGAGATTGAACAAAGTTCTTGAATTTGTGAACATCATACATGATATTTGTGCTGTTCTTGGGATTGATTTTTATGCTACAGTCACAGAAGTTCACCCTAGCTTGAATGACACCACTGACACTCAATCTAAAAGCATAAGCAATGACACACTTGCCAGGCTGGCAAAGACCGTTCTATCATTAAAAGAAGCCAAGAAGCAAAGGTTACAAAAGGTAAACACACTTTCACACCTTCACTTCTTTACATACTAAAAAAGGGTAAAAATATCTCAATGATTTGAGGTGACAAATTTCTTGTCTTTTCAGCTTCAAGATTTGGCAGCTGAGCTAAATAAACTTTGGAATTTGATGGATACATCTGAAGAAGAAAGGAGCTTGTTTGATCATGTTACATGTAAAATATCCTCTTCAGTTGATGAAGTGAATGTCCCTGGGGCTCTTGCTCTTGATTTAATTGAACAGGTACTCAAAATTTACTGTTACAAAAATCAGCCAAACTGAGGGACCTTTTTTGGAACATGGATCAAAATGTTAGAAATGCCTCAAATAAGTACCAAAATTGTAAGACGACTTTTTTGGATCAAAATTGCAAAAATCAGCTAAAATCATTGACCATTTTTTAAATAGGGACCAAGACGTTACAAAAACTTGAATTATGGGCCAAAATTACAAAAAACGAGCTAAACATAGGGATCATTTTTGAAATACAGATCAAAAAGTTACAAAAACCCGCATTTAGGACCAAAATTGCAAAAACCAGCTAAACTTAGAGACCAAAATGTTACAAAAACCTCATGTAAGTGCCAAAATCGCAGAACTAGCTAAACTTAGGGATCATTTTTAAAATACAGATCAAAAAGTTACAAAAACCCGAATTTAGGACCAAAATTGCAAAAACCAGGTAAACTTAGGGACCAAAATGTTACAAAAACCTCATGTAAGGGCTAAAATTGCAGAACTAGCAAAACTTAGGGATCATTTTTAAAATAAAGATCAAAAAGTTACAAAAACCTGAATTTAGGGCCAAAATTGCAAAAACCAGCTAAACTTAGGGACCGAAATGTTACAAAAACCTCATGTAAGGGCCAAAATTGCAAAACTAGCTAAACTTAGGGACTGTTGCTGGAACAAGCACAAAAACGTTACAAAACCCTCAAATAAGTGCCAAAATTGCAAGAGAGAACATTTTGGTACAAAAATTGTATAAAACCACCTAAACTCAGGGACCATTTTTGTAATTTACTTTAGATATATTATATAAATTCTTGATGTTACATTGTTGCAATGTTAAGGCTGAGGTGGAAGTTGAAAGATTGGATGAATTAAAAGGTAGCAGAATGAAAGAAATTGCTTTAAAGAAGCAAGGGGAGCTTGAAGAGATATTTGCACGTGCACACATAGAGATTGACACACAGTCTGCAAGGGAGAAAATTTTGGGTTTAATTGATTCTGGACACGTGGAGCCTTCTGATTTGGTAGCTGACATGGATGCTCAAATCATTAAAGCAAAAGAAGAAGCCCTCAGCAGAAAAGATATTTTGGATAAGGTTGAAAAGTGGATGTCAGCTTGCGAAGAAGAGAGTTGGCTCGAGGATTACAATAGGGTCAGTTTTATAAATTAAATTATTTTATTTTACATTTTTAATTTTTAATTTTTAATTTCATTGTGACAGGATGATAACAGGTATAGTGGAAGCAGAGGGGCCCATTTGAATCTTAAACGAGCTGAAAAGGCCAGAATTTTGGTTAGCAAAATCCCAGGTAACAAAATTCCAGAATTTTAGTCCTACTAAAGTAACCAAGGGCAGATTCGTAATTTGTATTGTATTGGTGCAGGTCTTGTTGACACATTGGTTGCTAAAACTCGAACATGGGAAGAAGAACATGGATTTACTTTTGCTTATGATGGTGTTCCACTACTCGCCATGCTGGACGAATATGCAGTGCTGAGGCATGATAGAGAAGAAGAAAAAAGAAGGATGAGGGTTAGTTTTGTAATTTCACTTAATGTTTGTAGGGCTAAAACTTATTTAAATAGATAAATGTATTTGTATGTAACAGGATCAGAAGAAATTCCATGAACAACTGAACACAGAGCAAGAAGCCATGTTTGGTTCAAAGCCAAGCCCTGCTCGCCCGCTAAGTAGCACAAAGAAGGTGGTGGGCCCGGGGTCACGAGGTCTTAATAGACGGTTGTCTTTGAATCAAAATGGGGGCGGGGGTAAATCGGTAAATAGAGATGTCAAAAGGGATGTCCCGAGGCCCGTAGCACCTTTGAACTATGTTGCTATATCAAAGGAGGATCCTGGTCTATTTACACCTTGAAGGTTGTTTAAATAAGTGAAATAGAAAAATTATATATACATGATTTAATCTGGGTATATTTATGATGTAAGTTATTGGGGGGTTTATGTGGTTGATGCTTTAATATTCTTTCATAGTTCTCATTAGCAAAGACGATGCTACATATAATTATGGGGTGTCCGTTGGATTTTTTTAGTGATGATATTAAATTTTTTAGATGAAAAACCAAATCAATTAATATTTATATAATAATATCGTTCTGCCAAAAAGTAATCTTTTTTTAATGACATCAACGGCGACCGTGGCATCAACTTTTCTTCTGGTTCAGTGATTTTGTCCATCTTTATCGTTATATTGTTTCAACATATGAAAATTCGTCGTAGAAGAGACTAGAGAGTAATATTTTTATAATTAAAATAAATAATATACATGCTTAGATAATAATATTCATAACCCAAGTAGATAATCAATTTTTATTTTCAGCAATTAGTTTTGTCACCTCAATATGGTGGACAAACATAAGTTTGTATCCTAGAGTGCAACTTGCAATTGCTGATTAATGAGATAACCTGCATGGTTTTTGTGATGCATAATATTTGCCCAAATAACCTAAAGGTTGTGATCTATTGTTGGGTTATTTACTTATTTCATTATGGATGCACCGATATTTTTTTTTTCTTTTTCTGTTAGTATTTGAAATTTGTTATAAGTGAAATCCTTCAGAGAAGTCCTAAAATTTTACCCTAATTTACGAAAAAGTCTCAAACTAAATTTTGTTTACGAAAAAACATGAATTACCGGTAAAAATGACGATTTGACCCATTTTTTCCGGTTTACCGGTTTTATTATTTATCTTTTTCACTAAAGTCCCATTATTTTACCCTAATTTGCGAATAAGTCCCAAAATAAAATTTACTGATGATTTGACCCTTTTCTCTATGTAACATACATTTTACCGGTTTCATTGCTGACCCGGACGCCTAGTCATTAAATGAGATGATGAGATGGATATGTTGAGTTATATAATGCTATGTTTAGCATAAAACTTGATATCCTTATGTATTGTATATCTTTTTCGAACATAAAATGCATCCAACGAATACTACAATAATTACATAAACTAACAACAACTGTGTTATTTTTTTACGTTTATAAGAAATATCAAATTGTCTAATCTAATCTTATGTAACCCAATATATCCATCTCATCATACATCAACTCATTTTCTGCCATTTTTTCTTGGAAACACACATTTTATTGGTTTCATTGCTGACGTAGATAGATAGTCATAAATGAGCCGATGAGATGGGTATCAAATTTTACAGTAAATGTGGCATTATATAACCCATTGTATTCATCTTATCAGCTAATTTAATGACTAGGTGTCTAAGTCAGCAATGAAACCGATAAAATGTATGTTACATGAAGAAAATGGTCAAATCATCAGTAAATTTTATTTTGGGACTTATTCGCAAATTAGGGTAAAATAATGGGACTTTAGTGAAACATGTAAGTAATAAAACCGGTAAACCGGAAAAAAGGGGTCAAATCGCCATTTTTACCGGTAATTCATACTTTTTCGTAAACAAATTTTAGTTTGAGACTTTTTCGTAAATTAGGGTAAAATTTTAGGACTTTTCTGGAGATTTCCCTTGTTATAATTTCCTTCTTTTCTTTGTAGAGGTGGATCTACTCTTAGAAGAAAAAAATGGGTATATGACACCACCTAAAGTTTAGGAATCTCCTTAAATATGGGCGTGTTCAGCACGCAACTTTTGAGTGCTTCTGGCTTCTAACTTTTAAGAATTCGCTAGTAAAAAAGAAAAAACCCCGTTCGTCGACAAAAGCGTTTAGCTTTTAACCTAAACACAACGCTCCAAAATCAAAAGCTACATGGAGTAGCTTTCAACAAAACGATCCAAAATCAAACGCTACCTGTTACCCACTACCAGCTAGTTTTGCCGAACACGTCCTATAAAGAAAAATTATAATTTTTAACGGAAATATAGATGTCGCACAAGTCCAAATAACTAACGCATCCAAACATAAAAAAGCGGCACATTAACGACGTAAATCCTATGACGCAACAAACTCGCGTTATTCTAGCCCACCTCCCATTAAATCAATTTGACAAGTGTACCCTTGTCGCAATGAGTGGTGGATAATTATTCTTGTAGTATTCATCGAAATTAGAGTCCTCATTGGATCGGGAATATATATATATATATATATATATATATATATATATATATATATATATATATATATATATATATATATATATATATATATATATATGATTAAAGTAGATGAACACCATCACTGCGTCAAGGAACTCGCATAAATAATGAACAGAGAAGTGAAGCGATCGAAGCAAAGCCGCATTCCCACCGTGACGGTCCGATGAAGTGCCAAGCGAGGGCCAGAGTTCACCGGGGAACGCGAAGACCAAATGCTGCACAAGTACCCACATCTCTTCCCTAGTTCTTGAAGGCTACTCTAGAGTAGATTTCGGGACGAAATTCCATCTAACGGGGGGATGATGTCACAACTAGCAAATTAGGGTTAAGATTTTGGTCCTTGTAAAAGACAATTTCCTCCATGTAACCTTGCAACATCCCATTTAGTGAAATTCAAACTACAATGCTATTTAAGTTCCTACGTTCATACATTGTGATTCAAGTCGAAACAACCTCATGCAAGTCCAAAACTCGATCCAATAAGCCAAGTCTAATCAATTTTGGGCCTTAGCCCAAGAATTCTCGGCCCAAAACCCTTATTGGACCAAGACTTCTTCGTTGGGCTCTATTGGACCGATAACTTCTTCACTTGGTCTTATTAGGCCGAAAACCTCTCTTTGGGCCCTAATGGGCCAAAAACTTCTATTGGGCTTTACATTGGGCTGAAAACCCTTCATTAGCCCGTATTGGGCCGAAAGCTTTCATTTGGGCCTCTTTGGGCCGAAAACTTTTATTGGGCCAAGCCAAAATCGAAACCCACTCTTTTGGGCCACCCTTTGGGCCGAGAACCCTCTTGGGTCAGTTGGCTTAAGCAAAAAAAAAAAAAAAAAAGGAGAAAAGAGAAAAGGAAAAAGGATGGATAATAAGCATTGACACCTCATAATTATCTTCCATGTATCAAGGCCATGATCCTCTATGTATCAATGTAAACTTCACATCATCAAATCCCAAGGTCAACTCTTCTCCTTCCCCCTCTCTTTATGCATCGGCCGACCCCCTCCCCCCCTTCCATACACCTCACAACCTCCTTTTTCCTTCACTTAGCTTCAAGAAATCTCTTATCCTTCTTCTCTCGAAAATCTCGAGTTCATTATCATCAAAAATCGATTCTAGGCTTCTTGGTAAGTCCATGTTAAACTCAAAGTATTTTATTACATTTTTATGCCAAGAACATTCCATTTACACACTCATTTTTTTGTGTGTTAAGCTCTTAGAAACACCACCATTTCGAGAATCTCACCAAGAACACAAGGCTAGGCTCGAAAATTCCTTCTCCCTCTACATCTCGAAAATCCTCAAGGTGAGCTTTATACCCCACTTTTTTTTCGATTTTTCATACTTTTGAGGGGGAATACAAGTCAAGTTTTCGTTTAACCGTTGGATAATTGCATGGACCAATGTGTTATGTGTTTAACCTTTAGGGTATTTACATGAATATGTAGTTTATCTTATACATCTTCATAAAAAGCATGAGAAATGTGTTTGTTAACATATATATTGCATAAATACTTGTGGATATGGGTTATACACTCAAAAATAGCAAAAATGAGTATGGTGTTCAAACATGTATAACCTAAACTTAAACATCAACTTTCAACAGAAAAGTTATGGTCTATTTACGGACTGTTTTGACCATCTTAAACTTAATATTTTTCAAAAATATTAAATATGAAAATAGTTCAAATTATACCTTTCTAAGGACTACTCGCACACGTTCATACGATTTTTCTACAATTTTTGGCGATTTTTACAAAACTGCCTATCATTTCAGAAATGATTTCGGACCAGTCTGTGAAGATGAACATTTTCACACTGGTTTGAGACCATTAAAAATTATAATAAAAATTATGAACAAAGTAGACTCAATTTACAAACTCTCAGAGTTTACGGATCCGAATTTCGACTTACGATGATTTTTCTATAATTTTTCTAAAAACAGGGACAAAAAAAAACTAGAAATTGTCTTTATCATACTAAAAGTTCTTATACTTGTGTTAGATGTAAGTTATTATGATATATATACTTTTAAAACATAACATTTAGGTGCTGTTTGTTTTTTTGAAGCAAAATTTCATAAAGTCTGCGGACCACCTCTACACTAGAAGAGGTGGACCAAACGGCTGCAGACTGTAATAAGAAGCGTCTTTGTTTTTTTTAACATCTGTATGCTGCTGCAGATATTAAAAAATTTAAATAAACTGATTTTATAATCCGAAAATAATTTTTTAATACGAAAATTTAATAATGTATGACATTTCGGCAAGAATTTATAATATTTCGGCAAAAAAATAATTATATTTTAACAAAAAATAAAGATATTTTAGCATAAAATAATGATATTTCATCAACAAATTATTATTACTCAATTAAAAAAAAGAAAAAAAAATTCAACAAGAATAAACAAAAAAAAAACGAAAAAAAATGTGAAATAAGATTTCAACAATATATAATCAATATTTTAGCAAGAAAAAAAGAAGAAGAAAAGGTTGGAAGAAGTAGGAAGAGGCAAAACAAGTGTTGCGCCAAGAAGAACACGTGCAGAGGTTTTTTAATCCGAAGACTTCTGAAAAACAAACAGCTGCGAGATTAAAAGTGTTGCGCGTGTGCTGCGCCGCGCAGCAATAAGAGGTCTGAAGAGGTTTTTTCCAAAAAACAAACAAACCTTAGACATGTTAACTTATATGTATTTATATACATGATCAAATAAAATGTCTTGAGAAACAACATAATAAACTATAATCGGTATAGTTTGAAAAACACAAACCACACTTCCAAAGGACACATAATTATTTAAAGGCATAATTATCTTATTTTGCGAGTAAACGGAGTCATAGTTCACGTAAATCTGTTAAGACTCTTGTGAGACTTTCCTTCACCGTACCCAACTAGCGTACACCATAAGTCATGTAGTTATAACCAGAGTCTCCTAGAGGGAGAGCGAGGTAATT